GAAGAAGAAGAAGAAGAAGAAGAAGAAGAAGAAGAAGAAGAAGAAGAGAGAAGGAGAGGGGTCCGAGGAACGAAAGAAACCCGAGAAAATGGATAAAGACAAAGATAGATTAAGGGACAAAGAGGAAGAGAGAAAGGAGTGAAAAGAAATGAGAAAGAGAGGGGGAGAGCGAAACGAACAAAAAAGAAGAGCGAAGGAACGAGAGAGAGCGAGAACGAGAAGAGGAACAAAAATACAGCTTACCTTTCATCGGAGGATTGTCGTGAAGTGCTTCAGTCGACTGCAGTGACTATAGTTTCGGCTAGTAGTGTTGATGATGCTAATAACAGAAAGATTAGCAGTACTGCAGAGGAAAGGAAGTCACAGTCAACAAGGCTAAGGGTGCCTGAGAGGTGGTACGGGTTAAAATTTATAGGGAGTGCCATTGCTGATAAGGCTATACCCATGTTTAGTAGTGGCAGCTCGGGAAACAGCGTGATAAATCCCAGTTAGCTTGAATTGAGCTCCCGGCATTGATTAACCAGTCACTGCCAGCTGGACTCTGCCGATCTTTGGATTACTGTGTGCCGCTGGGACCGTGCACGGCCGCTTCGTACTCCCTCCCCTTCCTGTGGCTCTGACAGCAGAAACTGCTGTTACTACGCCCCTATGGGCGACACGGCCCCGAGCTCTGCCTATTATGTATGTCAACAAGCGTGAAAGCCGCGTTTGTCTATGGTCTACTCCCCCCCCGTCTTTCTCACGTTAAGCACAGGGGCAGCATGGATATCGATTGTTGTTAATCTCCACATCGCTAAGCCACGGAAGCCGGCTTAGCGCACTGCTAATGACCAGGCATACAGCGACGATCAACCCCCCCCCTCCGGAGTCTCGCCAGCTGATTAAGCGTAATCGGCAAGACAGCGACGATCAATCTGTACCACAACTTTTGCCGTTCTCACGTGAGGAGTGCGGCCTGCGTCGAGGATGACGATTAGCGAATCATTCCATTACCGAACGACAGTGGTGACTGTGATAGGTGTAATGTAAGAACAGTGACATGAATAAGGTGGCCTAGCATCGCAACCTAAATTGCTGCTGGTAGGAATGTTCTGAAGCAGGGCTAAATGTGCGAATGGATGTTCGGCAGGAATGTCGTTAGCCCTATAGAAGGCAGCAAGTAAGAAAGAGTAAAACTTGATTGCCTAGGGGCTAAGATTAAGTTACTAGTGATGGCAGTAGGATTCTAATCGTGGTGGAGCTAGTACAAGGAAACATGCTTAGGAA